AAAAGATACAAGCTGTTTTGGTCATCACAATATCCGGCAAACAACAAAAGATACAAGCTGTTTTGGTCATCACAATGTCCGGCAAACAATAAAGGTACAGGTTGTTTTGGTTATCACAATATCCGGCAAACAATAAAAGGTACAGGCTGTTTTGGTCATCACAATATCCAGAAAACAACAAAAGATACAAGCTGTTTTGGTCCGGAAAACAACAAAGATACAAGCTGTTCTGGTCATCACAATATCCGGAAAACAACAAAAGATACAAGCTGTTTTGGTCATCACAATATCCGGCAAACAACAAAAGATACAAGCTGTTTTGGTCATCACAATATCCGGCAAACAATAAAAGGTACAGGTTGTTTTGGTCATCACAATATCCGGCAAACAATAAAGGTACAGGCTGTTTTGGTCATCACAATATCCGGAAAACTTCTACGAAAGCTCTACCACTAAGTTATGGTTGAAAGTATTCTACGAAAGCTCTACCACTAAGTTATGGTTGAAAGTATTCTAAGAAAGCTCTACCACTAAGTTATGGTTGAAAGTATTCTACGAAAGCTCTACCACTAAGTTATGGTTGAAAGGCAGCTTCGTGCTTTTTATCGTTTGTGATATTGTGATGACCAAAACAACATGTACCTTTTATTTTAAGTTATGGTTGAAAGTATTTTACGAAAGCTCTACCACTAAGTTATGGTTGAAAGTATTTTACGAAAGCTCTACCACTAAGTTATGGTTGAAAGTGTGGTAGAGCTTTCGTAAAATACTTTCAACCATAACTTAGTGGTAGAGCTTTCGTAAAATACAGCTTTTATTCTATTCGGTTCACCTCTTGCAGAGAAATCTTAATTTGAAATTTTTCTTTCCCCCGAATCTGTTGAGATTTTGGTGAAAGTCCATACTTTTTGCAAAAGAATTTTCCCATGGAAGACCGATTTTCAGTGCTAAAGTAGTCAATATATAACTGTAGAACATTCACAAGTCATGTTTACCGAGTTTTCATTTGAAGGTGCAAGGTTAGCAGGCGTTGCTTGCATGAAACATTATGGGTGCAGTCATGATTGTGATCCTGTTAAAGTTAAAACGATCAGAAAGAGAGGTCTTCTAAAATATTAGAATCCAAAATGAGGACAAGAAAACCACGAAGCAGAAGAAATATTAAGAATAAAATACTTTGATTGTCTTGGATCGTTCATTGAATAGATATGTTTGATAAGACCTCAACCAACGAAAGTCATAAAAGATAGTTGAAGAACAGTTACAAGCTCGCAGAATGTCCCAAAAGTCATGAACGTGTTGAAAACCATTCTTACAGCGCAAGTCCAGGTCAAAATAGAATGGCCCGGAGCAAAAGTAGCCTTAGATTAGAAAGACTTTAAACACCAAAACAATGTTTTGGGAGTTTCATTGCGTTCTTTGAAGTTTTGTATTAGTAATTCCTCCGGAGGATTTTCTCTTGTTAAAAGTTTTCACCAAGACGCGTGGCAATCTCTTTACGATCGATCGATTTTTGGGTTAGATACATATTTAAAATAACATTTCAGAATTACACTTGTTTCTGAAAATACAGAGTAAAAACAACGTACTTATTACTTCTACTTCATTCAATATTTATGTTGAAAGACGTTTGAGACGAACTGGAGTTTATAAGTTACTTAGGTTTAAAACAATTTAATCATTCAGACTTTTAGCGTTTATAGTTCTTACTTTTACAGGACTCATAATAACATAAACATATGTGTGTTATGAACAATAGAAACAAGAATTGGTAACAAGAAGATATGACGGACAGCATATGATTAAATTACTATTAAACACTTTGTTATGGTGTGAACGCCTTTTAGGAGCTGGAGAAACATGATTATATACTACACTCTTTTCCGTCTCGGAGAAACACTAAAGAAAATGAATAAATAATGTAATGTTTAAAATAAACAAGCCTAATACCTTTGTCTTATGACAAATATAATTGATTATAATCCCGCTTCATCAGCTGGGGCGTGCACATTATAAAAACTGTTATACAGTCAATTTTTGAAAGTCTGCATTTGAAAAAGTAGAGCATATTATGTATAAAATAGTTAGTATAAGAATGCTTATGACATCTCATATAATGTGAAGTTCGTAAGAGAAAACTGGTATACGACATAGTGCGAGGTTGTGCATGTTGAATGATAAAGTTAGTAATGTTCATGTTAACATACATTAGTATGTTGAAACTGAATCTTATCTGATAAGTGTAAGAAATAGTAACATCTGAGAACATTGAAAATATGTTTTTCAGACATCTGGAAGACTTAATAGTTACCCCCTTCGCCCAAATCCTACAGAGGTTGAGGAACATACGCAATAATTACATGCGTATCACGAACGTTCCTGCAACAAGGTAAGCACATCTTAAGAAGCGATTAAGACAGTATTTAATGATTAAAACTTGAGATTAGATGTAAAGATTAGGGTAGTGTTCCACTCGCAATCATGAATATTTAGGTCTCGTTAAAGCTATCCTTTGTGGACATTAATCTCTGGTGGATTTAATACACGTTAACGTAATAAAATTTAAGACAGCACCAAAATAGCATTTAAGGTTAACAAATAGGTAAAAGGGAAATACTTCATGATGCCTAGACAATACATTATAACGAAATATTTTAGGCTTACAATTTAGATTGATTTAAAAGGAAGGCAACTAAAGATAATAAATTTTTCTCTGGAGAGCAGCTTACATTCAATTAGTTCCTTATCTTACACCAGTGATGCATTAATAAACATGGTGTTTCACAAGGGTTATTTTACATCTTAAGTAGCATGTTTATCATCTGGTCAGTCTTTTCTTCGTTGTCGTGACCTTGCTATATCGCCGTTATATGATAACAAACCCGTTCACTCTTGGAAATATCACTTCACATGGTGCTCTTCTGATGAGATCCCAGAACGAGGTAGTTCCACGTGAACTTTTCTTTGTAAAAAGTCGAATAATGTCGATCTATAAATTTTTTTCTGTCTAAAGAGAGCCATCTGGTGGTGATTTTGCTAAGAATTTTAGGTCTTGGTTGTAATTACTTTATATATACGTATTCTTAGAAGGATTGTTCTAAACTAAAACATGGCTTCCAGTATCTGTGTGGCTCCCAGTGGCACAGCGGTATGTCTGCGGACTTACAATGCTAGAAACTGGGTTTCAATACCCATGGTAGCCAGAGCACAGATAGCCCATTGTGTAGCTTTGTGCTTAACTACAAACAAACAAACCAGTATGTGTGTTACTTTGTCGAATAGTAAGTATTTCTTCTACATCAGCTCATTGTATTTCAGTTTACAAATAACCTAATTTTAACTAAAGATGAAGTATTTGATTTTCTTCTTTTTTTTTCCTCTCAAGTACCTTTTAGTATATGAATTGCTGTTATTTGACTTTTGTACAAAGAATGTATTTTTGCTTTTTACCTTACGTAGAAGTTTTTATCTTTATTCAAGGACAACCGGTTGTCCTTGGTAGAAATCAGCCTTCGAGGAAATTTAACATTGGTTTGGTAAAGCATCTTCTAACCTTTTTTCAGCCTTCGAGGAAATTTAACATTGGTTTGGTAAAGCATCTTCTAACCTTTTTTCAGCCTTCGAGGAAATTTAACATTGGTTTGGTAAAGCAGCTTCTAACCTTTTTTCAGCCTTTGAGGAAATTTAACATTGGTTTGGTAAAGCATCTTCTAACTATTTTTTTCTTCTCTTCTTATAATTTCCAAAATGGTAAAAGGGAAATTTGTCTTAAAAAAAGGTAATCGCTCAATTACACGGGGCTTAATATTTAGTACCATGTTGTTTAGTACTTAGTACCATGTTGTTTAGTATCTAGTGCCATGTTTTTCAATATTCAGTACTATGTTGTTTAATGTTTTGCACCACATTGTTAAATGTTTAGTATCAAGTTGTTTAATGTTTAGTATCATGGGGTTTAATGTTTAGTACCATATTGTTTAATATGCAGTACAATGTTGTTTAACGTTTAGTACCATGTTGTTTATTGTTTTGTACCATTTTTTTTTAGTATTTAGTACCATATTGTTTAATGCTTTGTACCATGTTGTTAAATATTTTGTACCAAGTTGTTTACTTTTTAACACCGTGTTGCTTAAATTCAGTACTATGTTGTTTAACGTTTTGTACGATTTTGTTTAGTATTTAGTACCATGTTGCTTAATGTTTAGTACCATGTTGTTTAATGTTTAGTTTTATGTTGATTAATGTTTAGTACTATGTTGTTTAACGTTTTGTACCATGTTGTTTAATATTCAGTACCATGTTGTTTAATGTTTTGTACCACATTGTTAAATATTTAGTACGAAGTTGTTTAACGTTTTGTACCACGTTATTTAATGTTTAGTTTTATGTTGATTAATGTTTAGTACTATGTTGTTTAACACTTTGTACCATGTTTTTTAATGTTTGGTACCACATCGTTAAATATTTAGTACCAAGTTATTTAAAGTTTTGTACTACGTTGTTTAATGTCTAGTTTTATGTTGATTAATGTTTAGTACTATGTTGTTTAACGTTTTGTACTATGTTGTTTATTGTTTTGTACCATTTTGTTTAGTATTTAGTACCACGTTGTTTAATGCTTTGTACCATGTTGTTAAATATTTTGTACCAAGTTGTTTAATGTTTAGTTACCTCGTTGTTTGATATTTAGTACCATGTTGTTTAATATTTAGTGCCAAGTTGTTTAATATTTTTTACCATGTTGTTTGATATTTAGTACCATGTTGTTTAATATTTAGTGCCAAGTTGTTTAATATTTATTACCATATTTTTTCAATGTTTAGTTACCACGTTGTTTAATATTTATTACCACATTGTTTGATATTTAGTACCATGTTGTTTAATATTTAGTACCATATTGTTTGATATTTATTACCATATTGTTTAATGTTTAGTAGCATGTTGTTTAATATTTAGTACCATGTTGTTTACTGTTTAGTACCATGTTGTTTAATATTTAGTACCTTGTTGTTTACTGTTTAGTACCATGTTGTTTAATATTTAGTACCCTGTTGTTTACTGTTTAGTACCATGTTGTTTATTGTTTTCTACCATTGTCATTCAAGATACGTCCGACTACATCAACGAAGCTTATCGACAACTTAATGACACAAACCACTATAAAAAGATAGATTTGGACCCCACCCCGGAATTTGTTAAAAATAATTGAAGACAAGCTATGTAGTTTACAGAAAACCAACACATCAGTCGTGAAACGTTACAGTTCCTTTCACCTAAACACCCAGTTCTAGGTCGCTTTACATGTTACCAAAGATACACAAGTCCAACAATTCTATTACTTATAATTGCGGTATGCCCACCGAGAACTTACCTGCTTATGTTGATCACCACATCAAAGATATCCCTCCTACGTTTGACGTCGTACATTTAAGACACAACACATTTTCTAAACATGATCTCTGACATTAACAGCAACGGAAAACTTCCTGCAAACCCTATTCTCTCTACTATGGATGTTCTTCTCTATACACAAACATTCACCATGACGAAGTCCTGAAAACCATATTCTCTCTACTACGGATGTTTCTTCTCTATACACAAACATTCACCATGACGAAGTCCTGAAAACCCTAGAATGTTCTCTGCAAAAACTAGACAAATCCAACACTCAAATTATTACAGACTTAGCTGAACTTGTAATTACACTTAACGGTTTTGAATTTAATAATGAATTCTATATTCAAACAAAAGGCACAGCTATGAGCACCAAGATGACACCAAACTACGCCAACATTTTTAAGAGACAGAGACAACTTTTGGAAAACTGCACAGACAAACCAACGTTTTGGAAACGCTACATTGCTTTTTTTTTTCATTTGGATAGGAGATGAAGATTCATTATTGTCGTTTTATAGACTTAATAACACCTTCCACAGTTCTATAAAGTTTACTCTAGACTACTCCACTACCCAAATAAGTTTTTTGGATGTAAACCTAAAGATGGTGTTCTACATACTGACTTGTACCGAAAACCAACAGACAAACCACAATACTTACATAATCAAAGCTGTCCCCAAACACAATATCACATTCAATCAAGCACTTAGATTAAAGAAGATATGCTCTGACAGTAAGAACTATGACCATCATATTAATTCTTTGAAACAGACTATGGCTGAAAGAGGTTATACAGAAAACACTATCACCCAACAAGCTAAGAAAGCTAACAATATACCACGTACATCTACCCTGAAACAATTACCTAAAACCAATTCTTCTCGTGTTCCACTGGTTATTACCTATCACCCAATAAACTAAAAAATCTACCCCGGATACTAAAAAAACACTTTTACTTCCTTCAACTTAATGATAAAAAAGACTTTTACTTCCTTCAACTTATGATAAAAAACACTTTTACTTCCTTCAACTTAATAAAAACACTTTTACTTCCTTCAACTTAATGATCGATTAAAACCTATTTTTACCGAAGTTCCTGTCGTTGCTTTTAAGAAAAGTAAATATTTGCATTCACACTTGGTTTACGCTAAAGTCAACTTTAAGTCGATACCAGGTGGCAGTCATCTTTGCAATAACAAGCGATGTCAAACCTGTAAGTTCATGCAGGAAACGGACAAATTTTCCAATAAAAACAACCAAAAGCAGTTCAAAATCACTAATTCCATAACCCGCTCTACAAAAAATGTCCAATGTCGAAACTGAAATTTCCAATATGTAGGTTAAACCAAAACAACTATACGGGAATGTTTTTAGTAACCATAAATCAACAATCAAAACAAACAAAGAACTTCCGGTCGCAAAACACTTTAACATGCTTTGGACACTCTTTTGAAGACAAGAAACTGACGGGTATAGAGACAAATTTTACATTTAACAATAACAGGGAAACTAAAGAAGCTCATTGGATAGCACTGTTAAATACTGTGACACCAAATGATATCAATCTCAATCCCGGAGTTGTTGACCTTCACATGTCTCTGAAAAGATTTTCAAAACTAAATTCATGATTAAACTTACTTTACATTATTAGTATTATTCATGCTTTAATCTCTCTATATTGATATCATTTCCCGTATATTACGTCACATTATCCTATATTGATATCATTTCCTGTATATTACGTCACATTATCCTATATTGATATCATTTCCCGTATATTACGTCACATTATCCTATATTGATATCATTTCCCGTATATTACGTTACATTATTAGTATTATTCATGCTTTAATTTCTCTATATTGATATCATTTCCTGTATATTACGTTACATTATTAGTATTATTCATGCTTTAATTTCTCTATATTGATATCATTTCCTGTATATTACGTTACATTATTAGTATTATTCATGCTTTAATTTCTCTATATTGATATCATTTCCTGTATATTATGTCACGTTATCATTTTCTCTATTTCACACAACTTTTGCCGTTATGTTATTTTTATTTTTAATTTTATCTTTATAAAAATTAGTTAACATTTTTATAACTATTATCACACTTAAGTGTTTTATGTACTGTACACACCTCTTTGGCACAAACTAAACCTCACACAAACAACTCTAGGTTATGATTGGCTAGTTCTCAAGGGTAACTCATATTAAACATTCGGTTTACGTGACGTCGACATCCGTGCCTATATATTTCATCACACTCATTAAACATAACCCTTTATTCTACTGAAGAACAACAGTAAACTATGTCACTTTTCCTAACACCAGAAGAATGGCTTCATAAGCTTGATATTTTAATACTACGATCGGTTTACACAGAACAGCAGTAAATAGGCCCATGCGCACTTTTACCATTCTACTCTACGGAAATATTTGTTTGTTTTTGTTTTTTCCAAATTTGCGCAAAGCTACACGAGGGCTTTCTGTGCTAACCGTCCCTAATTTAGCAGTGTAAGACTAGAGGGAAGGTAGCTAGTCATCACCACCCACCGGCAACTCTTGGGCTACTCTTTTACCGACGAATAGTGGGATTGACCGTCACATTATAATGTTCCCAGGCTGAAAAGGCGAGCATGTTTTGTGTGACGGGAATTCGAACCCGCGACCCTCAGATTGCGAGTCGAGCGCCCTAACCACCTAGTCATGCTGGGCCTATACGGAAATGAGATGACAAACATCCTGATGGGGCTCCAATGGATTGTTGTGTCTATATCGCCTTCATTAGAAAATGTTCTTTACAATGAAACTAAGATGTAATGATGCCTGTCAGAATGAGCACGACCTCTGAATGAGGAAGGAGTTAAAAGGGCAGCACGTGAACTGGAAGAACTGCAGCACGTTCTTATAAAGTACGATTAACATCAATATCATGTACGCATAACAGTACATTGTACCTTAAATGTATCCTATCTGTTTGCTATTAATCAGGTCTCTGAATCTGTTTGTTATTAATCAGGTCTCTGATATAAAATAAACGTTTTGCTTTTCCCATCTTAATTAAAATCTCGCTGTGCTAAAAAAAATTGATGATGCATGGATAAAATTTTTGAATGATGCAAAACTATTACATTTAGACAAACAACGACTTTCACTGGGTTGTTTTCTGTCGAGAAATTTATTTCAGTACAAATTTATATTCACGATTCAAGTTAGTATAATAAACAAGTATTCGGTTATTTGGTGAATTTACTTTAAAACTAATATTTACTCGAAAAGAAGAAAAGCATATGTGTTTTAGACAGTAACATGCTATACATGAAAGTAAAATGGATTCTATTTAAGCAGATTTAAAAACTCTAACATTTTACTTTAACATCGATTTTATATTTTTATCTAGATCAAAACGTTCGTCAGGAGCAGTCAATTCATCATCAGCTCCTATCAAATTATCCGGTAAGGACGCATTCTATACATCATCAGCTCCTATCAAATTATCCGGTAAGGACGCATTCTATACATCATCAGCTCCTATAAAATTAACTGGTAAGGACACATTCTATACATCATCAGCTCCTATCAAATTAACTGGTAAGGACACATTCTATACATCATCAGCTCCTATCAAATTAACTGGTAAGGACACATTCTATACATCATCAGCTCCAATCAAATTATCTGGTAAGGGCACATAATATACATCATCAGCTCCTATCAAATTAACTGGTAAGGACACATTCTGTACATCCTCAGCTCGTATCAGATTATCGTTTAAGGGCACCTTTTCTATATCATCAGTTACTAGTAAGTTTTATTTATACTCTGTTCCTAGTACGTTTTCTGATAAAGACATGTTCTGTATATCCTATTCTCCTTGTAATTTATCTGGTAAGAACATGTTCTACACATCTTCAGCTAGTAGTAAGTTTTCTGGTAATGACACATTCTGTACATCCTCAGCTCCTAGTAAGTTTTCTGGTAATGACACATTCTGTACATCCTCAGCTCCTAGTAAGTTTTCTGGTAACGACACAGTTTGTAAGTCCTCTGCTCCTAATAAGTTTTCTGATAAGAAAACGTTCTGTACATCTTCAGCTCCTAATAGGTTTTCTATTAAGGAAGCATTATGTACAACTCCTCCTAGTAAACTACCTGGTAAGGACACATTCTACACATCCTCTGCTCCTATTAAGTTTTCTGGCAAAGACAGGTCCACTACTTCTAGTGACACATATAATAAATTAAGTTATTAAGTGACGTTAAATATTAAGTCTTATATATATATATACATACATATATATATATATGTGTGTGTGTGTGTCAATTTCTTCTCTTTTGCCTCTAACTAGAGATTGTTATGTTATCCATATTTCAGCATTGTTCATACATTTATTTGTAGAAAAAGAAGACAAAACCTGCAATTTTACTTACTTGTTTTCTTTTAGTTTCATTTTATATATTCATTTTCATTGGAAAGTAATAAATCTGACACATTTTGAAACATTTTGTTTCACGAAAATTATATGGGTATATGTTTCTTAAAGCACTACTTTAGCTATAGATTGGGTCCGTATCATAAAGCTAATATAACGAGTGCTTTGAAAATAAGAAAACAAATCAAATGTTTTTCTCTGTGTAACAAAATTATAAAATGGTTTCGTGTATAATGATCCCACTTCTTTTCACTACAAATCAGAAAACTTTTGCCTTAATGGTTTTCACGAACAATTATTTCAGACGAACAGCAAATGCAGCTGGCAACGGACACTCTGGACGAAATAGACTGGTGCCTGGACCAACTAGAAACGATTCAGTCACACAGATCTGTTGGAGATATGGCCTCTAGCAAAGTAAGTAAACACAGATCTGTTGGAGATATGGGTTCTAGCAAAGTAAGTAAACACAGATCTGTTGGAGATATGGCCTCTAGCAAAGTAAGTAAACACAGATCTGTTGGAGATATGGTCTCTTGCAAAGTAAGTAAACCAATGCAATTCACCCTCTACACTCTGGGAATCCACACTCATTCTGTATACACAAGGAACCCACCTTTACTATGGACGCAATACGAGCACATCCTCATTATGGAGATACGCTAGGATTCCCCTTCACTGTGTACATACACTAAGAACTAACCGTCACTTTGAACACGTTCGGAATCCACCCTCACTCTGAACATGTATTAGGATATGTAAATCATAAACACACAATACCCAGTGTGTGTTCTCTACACAGGTTATGTAAATCACATAAACGGAATACCAAGTGTGTTTTCTATATATACAGGACATGTAAATCATATAAACAGAATACCAAGTGTGTCTTCTCTATACAGGATATGTAAATCATATACACACAATACCCAGTGTGTGTTCTCTACACAGGTTATGTAAATCACATAAACAGAATACCAAGTGTGTTTTCTATATATACAGGATATGTAAATCATATAAACAGAATATCAAGTGTGTATTCTCCATACAGGGTATGTAAAACTTACACCTGACACCATTTCACTGAATAAGGTTACGCTATGATGCTGTCATGGTAATTTCAGAATATTATATTTTTACAGATGACCAATCACATTTCAGTAAAGTATTCATTGAGGTGAAAGAAGTGTTTATTATAACATTTCTTTGATCAGTCAGAATATGAAGCATATGTTATCACGTGCAGCTAAGTTAGAAATTGGAAGCCTATTAGGTGAAGCTAATGTCCATACCTCAACCTTTCTATGTGTATACTTCTCTTCTTGAAAAGATATATGAAGTCTAAGTAAGGGTTTATGTAAATGTAACCTTTGACAAGTCTATACAAGTCTGACCTGCTTCCAAACTGATACGCTATAACTAAAATGGTAGAAACTGTAACGGTTACTAAACTTGAAACTGTTAATAATGCAGTGAATGTATACCAGAAAGGTGACTTAGAAATGTTTGTTTTGTTGTTCAGCGCAAAGATACACAATGAACTATCTTTTCTGTGCCAACCACAGGTACCGAATTCCCAATTTTATCTTTATAAGCTGTCAGACATACTGTTGAGCAGAATTAGCCAAATTAGGCAAAACCGTTTGAATTAAGAGCGAGAACAAGGGGAACTGATAGTAATGTTCTGATCAATGTGCCAATAGAGCTGTCAATGACAACCATATAATCAGTAAACAGCTCAACTAATCAGTCACGGAACATTATTAACTTCATTTGGGATTTAATTAAAATTAATAAAGTGAAAACCTACATAATAAAATAAGTAATCTAGAAGAATAAAGTATCTTTGTTACATATTCTTCAAATCCTCTGTACATACAAATCCACTGTGATGAATGAAATACATTGTTACATATCCTTCAAATCTCCTGTACAGACAAATCCACTGTGATGAATGAAATACATTGTTACATATCCTTCAAATCTCCTGTACAGACAAATCCACTGTGATGAATGAAATACATTGTTAC